CTCAAATCTCAAATCTCAAATCTCAAATCTCAAATCTCAAATCTCAAATCTCAAATCTCAAATCTCATCAAATTTTTTATCCGAATTTTCTTACCCTTTCTACCTGCTGGCCAATCACAAACTGTGACCCATCTGTCTAAGGAGGCATTCCTTATACATTGATTGACATAATTTCACTCGTGGTATAGTCTTATGAAATACCACTCGTACTTTAAATATTCTCAGATAAGTCCCCTCGTCTCGGCGTGAGTCGGGAATTTAACAACAATTTCCATAGAACTATTGGTATTACTTATGACAAGTATTGTTTCCATCACCATCGTTGCTATGTGCAAGAGCTAACAAATGCATTCTTCCAGCAAACAAAACAATATTTTCACCTTGCAATTACTCAAAGCCTAAATGTGCTTGCTAATCAATTAAAGTGTATTTGGTACAAAATATAATGAGCTTTAAGAAAACTTGAAAGTTTGGTGATTTTTTCTGTTTTTGTTTTGGTGCTTGTTTTCATAACACTAAAAAACTAAAGGAGTGCAAACTTAAATTTATTAAGAGAAAAGGAGATGGAAGTGAATTTACTCAATCTAATGTAGGCAGTACCTTTTCCTTTAGTTTTGAATGTCTTGTGCATTTGTCTTGTACAAAGAAACATTTTCCATTATATTACTGAAACAATTATCTAAAAAAGTGGTTGCAATTAGGACTGACAAAATACTTTCATCTTTCAGAAAAAAAAAAACCTTTAAAATTGTTAAAGCCATTCCCAAAATTAGCTCAGATAGACAGGCTAACCAAAATTATCAAACAAAATGAAAGGATTTTTATACCATCATACGAGAATATAAAAAAGCATTTATTTTGAAATTACAGGCATACAATCCAATTTTATTTATAGAGGCTAACATTAACCTCTCGTGAAATTAACACCAAAAGTTAAACTCTACAGCCCATCTAATATGCACCACTCATGAAGGTGTATCCCCTTCCAAAATTCCTTTTTTCTTACCACCTCCTCTGTGCTAACTTGGTACTATAACATCCACCAAAGGAAGCAATATCATCTATACTTGGGGTATGAACAAAATATTATGAATATTTGGTGCTTTCTGAATCTTTTTGGAGGTATTTCATTTGTGGAATAGTCTTATTAAATGCCACTCGTGGATTGGGAATATCTAGATAAATTACTTTGTTGCTACGCGACATGGAATTCATGGGAAATGTCCAGCATGTTAAATTTTAAGCTGTTAAATTGTTATAAATAAATTATGTTGGTTGGTTAAATTGTTATGTATAAATTATGTTAAATTTTGAGACGTTTTGAGCTGTAGAGGATGTCTGAAAATGCAGAATTTGAGCTCACTATCTCTCAAAACATTTGATATCTCAAGAAACTTCATAAGAGATAACAAAAAGAATGTGGATAAAACAGGTGCTGGAAATGCATTTTGGATGCTGTGTGCTTCCCCTTATCAACTAATGCTGAACACTCAAATACTCAATCACAGTCACAATATGTAATAACAATTTGATAATAAGTTGACCTAAGTTGAAATAATATTGAGAGGGAAGTTAGGCCACATGTCATGTTTTTAATTACAGTTTGATATGTGGGTTCATTCTGACTTTGACAAGAGTGTTGTTTCCATCTCAACACAATTTTAATTTCATTTTTAAGTTTCTATCAGATTGATATTATGTAATTGTTTTGGGTATGCTGGTGTTTCAACTAAACTATGGTTTGGTTTTATGAAGTATGTGATTTGCCTCTGCTCTGCTCTGCTTTGCTCTAAAGATATCAATATTAGCCAATTGCTGACTTTGCCATAAGATACCTGCCCCAGAGTATGTTAGTGTCAAAACGTTGGTTATGGATAAAGCAATGGGAAATCATATTCTTTAAAAAAATCAGCATAAAAGAACTTCGGATGTCTCATCCGCTTTTATACAAAACAAAACTAAACAACAACCACCCTCCATTTTTTGTGATCAAAATTGTTAGTTCTGTATAACTTTGTCAAAGTAAAACTAGAATACAAGAATTAAATCCAGTTGATATCCAATTGGGTGTACACCATGCTAAAGCTTGCCTTCACTCATGTCTGAAGAGCGATTGTAATTGTTTGGACACATTTACTTTACTAATTCACAATCCCTTACCCAGCACCAAATTGGTCCAATTTTATTGAAACCCTGTTGAAAACTGATAATTTGGTTTGGATTTATGAAATTCTTTAACAGGTCATTGTGTGTTTTAAACTCCACAGTAATGAAGGTTAATCATTTCATCACTCTCTTGATTGGCCACCAAAAAATCTATTTAAGAAACTATGTTGATCAGCTATCAAAAATTAAAACTTCCAGAAATTAGCACATGATATTGAATTTTCCTAAAATATAAAAATGGAAATACCTGTTCAAAGATATTCTTAGTTTTATTATGTTAAAAATCAATTTGGTTCAACTAATAATGTACTTCACTTTTCTGTAATACAAGCAATAATTAATTTTCGATAACTTAAAATAAGAACCTGAACCAATGAAATTGAAATAAAATTAGTAAAAAAATGAATAAGACATATTGTAGATTTATTTTATAATTCTTTTTACATGAACATGATGGAAATTCAGAGATCCACAATTGTGTTTGGTATAAATACCGATAATATTTACAGTATAGTACATATAAAACAAGTTAATATATGCAAGATTTTACATTCTCACCATTTTCAAGAATAAAAAAAAGTTTCTTGAATGAACTACAAAAGCACAAGATCTTGTAAAGGAGTCTTAACACAACTAAAAATCACAGTTTCTGAATAACTGTAAATCATAAACAAATAACATTACCTCATGCATTCTGCATCATAAGGACACAGGTAAATGTAAAAAAGAGAAAGAAATGAAAACAGGTGGGTTTCTTACAATTAAAATCAATACTTTTGAAAACAAAATCATGTTTCTCCAAGACTTTATTTTACCCTAGACTCTGCATAATTTTATTGTATATTATATAAATGTAATGTACCTCAGTTTCTTGCACAATTATCTACTCACAAAACAAATAGAACGTGCTTTACACACATTTGTACTGAATTACACCTGTCTAGAGCACAAGTAGGCATAGTCACTTCATATTCTCGGATGTCATATGTCAATTTGTTATTGATTCATTAAGTCTTTTTCTAAAAATGAAAGTCTATTTTATTTAGCTTCTGCTCTGACTTCTATTGTTTGTTCCTCTTCTTCTCTCACTGGCTTTCCACGAATGTAGACAGGTGAATTGTTCCCATTGACCACATCGTCGGTTATGTGGACACTCATAACATCCGAACCAGGGATATCAAACATGGGATCCAACAGCAACGACTCCTGCAAAGACAGATTACGGCATTGTTATTGATGAGCTATAGACATTTCACTGTTATGTGCTTACAAATCTTTCAAACACAAGTGAAACTCCTATGTCAAATAATTTTTTTGTGAATTACTTGGAATTACTAAGTCATAATTTCTCTCTTTTTGCTTTCTCACATACTATTTGTGTAGCATAAAGAAAGTATTGTAAAGTACCATGAAACAGTTACAGAAGTTACACATCAAGTCACTCAGTTACAGATACAGTTACTAGATACAGTTACAGATCAATGAAGATATTACAAGAGAAATTGGAAGTCTGACTTCCATTTTTGTTCTTTAGAAACAATATTATGTATTAAAGTGAAAATTCTCAAAGAAAATGAAAATATATATATATGATATATTATATATATTATATATATATATATATATATATTAATATATATAATATATATATATATATATATATATATATATAATATATATATATATATATATATATATATATAATATATATAATATATATATATAGTATATATATATATATATATTTATATATATATATATATAGTATATATATATATCTATATATTATATATATATTAATATATAATATATATATAATTAGTATATATATATATATAATATATAAATATATTATATATATATAGATACAGAGATGTTGGAAGAACACAAAAGAAGTGGCAACAGCAGGAACACCTAGAAGACTTAACTACCAGGACTACTGCATAAATAATGGAACAGGCCTAAACCCTAACAGTATGTGATGAAAAATTGAACCCAGTTAAAATGAACCCAGTTTTATCTCCTATCTGAAATAAGATATCGAGGCAAATTTAATCATCTTCAACTTTTTTTCCTCCAAATACAGTTTTTGGAGTGAGTTTCACTTGGATACTGACAACACAGTCAATGGTGCATCAATAAAAAGTAAGCATTTGCTAATAGTATCAAGTTTTACCTAAAACAAATACTGCCAAGCATTTAGTGAAAGCTACAGCACTTGCTCAAAATTATGTGAATAATCTTTTGATAATTTTAAGAAGTAAATGCTGGACAAGTAAAATTACTTGTTATTGGTCAGCAAAAATAGTCGACTGCCTCTTCATGATTTTTGTTGTTGCGAAAAGCATAAAAACAGATACCAATGTCTGATTATGTATGTGATGAGGAGAATACCAACGATAAGCAACTTCAGTTTGTTGGTATTTTGAAAGATTATATTTTGCCTTTTTAACAAATCACAGTTAGAACATAAAAGTTGAGAAGGGAAATCGTCTGACTCATGATGTTACAGAATATGAATCGACCTCCAGCAAGAAATTTTGAATAATACACAATGTGTTCAGACAATGTCACCTTATGCACGTGGAAACTCGTAGTAATCCAATCATTCTTTCTTTTTAGGCAATATCAATCTCTTTTGGGAACCTAATCCACAGGGGTACCTTGGCAACAATTTTCTCCAAAACAACATTAATAGTGTTTCACATTATTATCCGAAAAACCTCAATAACCTTGTCATTTACCAGTTGATAACCAGGATAACTCACAAATTTTCAAAAAATCTTATTTCTTTGTTTTGATGTTAGAGCACTTCCATTCTTTCAGTTGCATTGCCAAGAAAATGTTTTGGCAACTACTCAATGATTTTCCTCATTAAATTGGAACAATGACTGATAATCATATTGTGGAGACTCAATGTGGATATTACTTTGCACTTCTAATTTGTATGTATGCAACTATCTCAACCTAATTGGCACTTCAAGCAAGGGCAGATCAGACTAGAAAAAATTAAAACATTTGTTGTGTAAAAGAATAAGCTTGGCTTTATTCACATCATTTCAAGGAATTGCTAGAAAATTCTGCATATACTACTTTACTTTTTATTGCTTTGTGGCTTTTAGCATCTTTCTTGCTTTAAGCACTAATTTTCAGGCAGTTACTCATACTTTCTAGTAAACGCATTGAATACCTCAGTTCACTTGGCCCTCTGTCTACTGATCTAAGAAAGATACAGGTAAAATAATCCATTACACATATTTCTATTAATCATATTCTGAGTCTTCAAAATTAAATTGAAGTTGTCACTGAGTCAATGGCCTACAAACATGAATTGGATCAATCCAACATCAATTTCAGTTAGAAAATTCAGGATAGATAGACCCCAAACTGTCTTCCCGAGCTTAATTTTCCACAAGAATTTTCTTTGATATATCTATACCTACTTTCAAACGTAGCATAAAAGAATTTATTTAATTTTTACTTATTAGTGACTCAACCAAATTCTGTGATGCAATGTTTATGATATATATTAATTGTATACTTCTGTTTATGTGTTTATGCTCTCATATATATAATACATTATAATGTGAAAATTTAAATGTATAAAGCCGATTGGCATAAGTGAACGAATAAATAAATAAATAAATAAATAAATAAACAAGCACACTGCAGCCAAAACCCAGGAGAGAAGCCTCCTTAGGGGTGAAAAGTACATTACAAGCACCTCAGTGCGTGAGCGGTTAAATTACTAGCTTCTGAATCCCCTAGTGTGCAGGTGTGATACTGGTTGAGGGTCTTGGACATTCGAAGGGCAGAAAATTCTACAGTAGTCTTGTTATGCTTGTGAAAGAACTTTGGCAGTTGTTCAACAGTATATATACTCTGGTGAATAGTTTTTAGATGCTGCTAACAATTTCAAATTTGTAACAAAATAGATAGTAGTAGAATAGCGAGTTATATCACACCCTAGGGTGTCTCTCGCATCCCAGCCTTCACATCTCTCTATGCGTGTAGTCATTACTCGACTCTTCACCATCGCCTCATCCACTCCCTAACCCCATGTAAGTCTAGATCTTCCTTTTCATCGATGGTAGCTGGCTGCCATTTCCACAATATTTTCGGCCAAGGTTCTTAATTCATTCTTCGCATGTGCCCATACCATTTTAGTCTTTTCACTTCTATGGTGTCAATTACATTATAACTTACTTCTGTTCAACATTTAATTTTTTCGTTCTTAACTTTATCCATTAAAGTCAGTCCGCAACTTCGGCACCAAAGTCCATTTCCATTGCTTTCAATTTCTTTTCGCTCTCTTTTTGTTACTTTGTATACCTCAGATCCAAAAAGGGGAATTCTCTACAACAGTCTTACATAATTTTCTTTTTCCACTCTTACTTAATTTATCTTTCTATATCAGTGTTCCATGCCTATCCACATAACATTATCAATACATTAGTGTCCCGCTCCAAAGTCGCTCTATTCTTGACATCAATGAGGTCACTTTTCAGTCAGGTTTTTAATATTTTCCCATATGCTTGGCCAATGCTGCTAAGGACAGTTATGCCTATATAATTTGCACTCTGTTTCCTATCACCTTCTTGTAGATGTTAGAGATATATCCTTTCCTGAAGTTCTCAGGTACTCATTCTCCCTCATTAAACATCTACTGAACAGTCAAGTAAGAAGATCCAATAATAAACTGGGGCCATGCTTCAGCAAGTCAATGTTTATCAATCCTGGACTGGCTGCTTTTCCATTTTTAAATCTCTGTATTACTTTTTCAGTCTCTCACTGCAATATATTCTGTATCAGCCAGTTCCTCAAGCTTTATGCTGTACATGTTACTAAATGCAAGCCTATTATCTTTCAAAAGTTCTTTATAATATATTTTAAGTAGATCTATACTTATAGATTGTAGTACTGAATTTTGCTTTTTGTTTTGTCTGAGGTTCTTTATTATTTTATGCGTTCTTTGATCTGGTATTGCCTTCACTCTGTACTGCATCTTCACATACTCTTTCCCAAGCTTCTTTACTTCTTAACTTCTCTACTAATTTGACGATACTGTTCTTTGTCTTCAATATCTTGAGTGCTTAACAACGTATTATAAGCAATTTTCTTGTCTTGCACTTTCCCTCCCAAAGAATTATTTCATCATGAATCACCTATTCCTTTCCCACCAGTATGTCCTATTTCTCCGAGGCTCTCATAAGCTGCTTGATGTACGGCGTCTACAATACCATCATAGTGTGTTGTTGCGTTAGCTGATAACGTAATCTATTCTGGTTTTACTTGTTCCTCTGCACCAACTGAATTTGTGATTGTCTTTATGTTTGAAAAATCCATTTCATACTTTTAAACTGTACTGGGGGCATAATTCTATTAGTCGTTCACCATTTCCATTTATCACTTCCTCTCTATATCTTCCTACAACTTGTCATGAGCAAGCCTTCCAACTCTACTGTTAAAATATCCCAAAATATCCTAAAAATATCTCCTCCTGGTTTCGTAACTCATCCAAGACCATCGTCAGCTGATTAAAAAACCTATCTTTCTCCAATTCGGTAGCTTTGTCATTTGGAGCATATATACCTATAACTACCATTTCAATACCTTTAATTTTAAAATCAATTTACAATATTCTCACTAACAACACCAACTCTTAATGATACGTTTATATTTCTTTAATTCAGCAATGGAAATTCCTTTCTTGGCTTTAAATTCTTTGTTGACACCACTATATACGTGAATGAAAATAGATTGAGAGAGTAATAATACACTTGCGCACTGTGGTCATTGATTATCCACATATCTTACACCAAAAATATATACATTTACTATAAACTAAAACATTTTAACTTCAAAAAATAAATTTGTTAAACTGTCTTTACAAAAAAGCCACTCTTGCCAGAATAATTTTCCTGATAATTTTTACTATCCTATTAATGAATTTCTCACAAACAATAGCTTCAATGATTTATTTTAAAATTTGTTTGAGGTATTTTTCAATTCTGAACTATTAAGAACCAGAAACCTGGAGTATCTACATTCCAAATTCTGAAGCACATGACAGCAATCTGTGGCTTTCCCAGCCACCTAACACTTTGCATCAATGAACACTCTTGAGTGGGGATGGTAAGGATTCCTAAGTAATGTTTATCTACACAAAATAAATTGAGACAAAGACCCTACTACAGTGCCCTAGGTTTGTCCTGCACTATCTAGGCCAAATATAACACATCAAGAAAAAAACAAACTTTAATGGGTCTCCAAAAACTTGTACCATCATAAACATGAGTGTTTCTAACATTCTTCCAGAATATCCTAGAAGGAACAGGCTAAAAAGTGCCAAATGATTTGTATTGTCAAGAGGAATCAAATTAGCTGTTGAGCACCTCTGTAGGTGCCGTAAATCACCCAAACATTTTAATTGCTTAAATGGCCAAAACACTTTTTTAAAGACATTTTTTGGAATCTTCTGGACGAAACTGCAAAATAAAACATCAGTTCACCTCGACGATCACAATGACACCTCGTTTGTCTTGATTGATGGAACAGAAAGGATCAAACTGTGAGTGACCGATGTTACTTGTTACTAAAAACATACGGTGGACCACATGAAATCTAGCTGTGATACATGGAAAGATATACAAAAGTTACTTGAATACTATATGTAGGATGATAGTCAAAAAGAATAATAGAAATGATAGATGCAAAGATACTCCAGGTTAGGATTACTTTCCTCAGCAATAAACATGAACAATGGAAAGAGATAAAAAATGTATTAGGTTATAGAGGCCCAAAACTGGACTCAAAAAAACCAACACAATATTACTGATATTTAATTGGGACCGTCACAAAAAATGTTACTGATGTGTAATGATTTCACAGCTTTTTTGACAAAATGCTTACCAAAATTGCTCGAAGGCCTCGTGCTCCAGTCTTGCGTTCCATTGCTAATTTTGCAATTGCTCGAAGAGCATCAGGAGAAAATGAAAGGTCAACCTGTAATAAGCATACATTAAAATAACTATTGTGTGGACCAATTCAACATAAAATTCTGGGCAGAAAGAATTACATACCTTATCCATGCCAAAGAGCATTTGATACTGAGGAACCATAGCATTTCGAGGTTCAGTCAATATTCGAACAAGCAGTTCTTGGTTGAGTGAATGGAATGGTACCAAAACAGGAAACCGACCAACAAATTCCTGAAATTAAATGAATAAACAAAAATGTTATGTTCACAAGAGTTTTCATGATTTTTAATGTGACAATTTTTTACACAACACATTACTAACACAAACATTTTAATTGTGACAGACAACCAGAATTTTAAACCACAAAACATCTTATCAATTACTATCAGGCAAATATTTATCAATCTGATAATTTCATCTGTCTTGCTAAATGGTGTGTGGCTGATATTTACAACAATTTTTTGGGATAGGAACCATAGCATTTTGTCTTATGAACCATAGTATTTCATCTTCAAACGTTTCACGTAAAAAGTTCTCAGTTTTTTTCATAAAACAAAAATCTTTAATTCTGAACTGCACACCTGACTATCTCAACTGCTTTGTGCTCACAGGGTTAGACACAGATTTATTATTGATACTCACAGGTATCATTCCGAATTCAATAAGATCTCTTGCTTCTACTTGTCTCAAAAATGCATCTTTTTCAGCATTATCTTCCTCTGCAGAGGAAGAGGCACTCTGATTAGCTTGGTCAGCAAGTGATGCTGCTCGGCGTCCCGGGGATTCTGATACTGGTGCTCCAAAACCTAGATACTAAATAAAAAACAAAAGGTAAGTCAAGTCACTATTAAATTACCTTTTTATAACTTGGGCCTGCTTTTGAAAAATTGTTAACGATTTATATATACCTTCTCATTTTTTCTTCTACTGATGATTCTGTCTAAGCCATTGTAAGCTCCAGATGCTACAAAAAGAATATTTGTTGTGTCCACTTGTACTGTTTCTCCCCGCAGCTTTCGAGGAGAATTTCTTTCAGGCACATTTACAACAGTACCTTCCAGCATCTGCAAACAGAATTTCAATTAGGTACAATAATGGATTCTCTCTAGAATCAACGATATTAAAAATAGTAATTACAGTACCACTAGAGTCTCTGAATACTATACTATTTTAATGTCAAAATTTTCTTATGTGTGATTTCATCATTACGAACTAAAATGTAACAACAGTAGTAACAAAAAGTAATTTTTCCACTTCAAATTCTACTTATATTTTTATAGATTTTTGTCTGTGGAAAATATTTTACATGATAATACATTTATGTAAATAAATATTCATTTTGTACTCATGAACACAGAATATAAATATAACCTTGTCCCGTTTTTGCAGTTCCTTGTCATGTTTTTACCTCAACTAAATATGGTCAGCCTAACCTTAAGGAACGGAGGCGATTGAATGCAAACATTTTATATGGATACCAAAATGAACTTAACTTCACCTTTAAATCTACAAAATGCTTGTCCTGCTTCAAATTAAATAGAGTAAAAAAATCTCAAACACTTCTTAACCCCACCCAAACATTACTTGTTTGTACTGGAGAGTACCTAAAACACCTTTCTGATATATGAAAACTGAATTAAATCTATGAACTTAGCAATACGTAATTTCTGAAAAGAATATTAATATGAAGATAGAATTGTTTAAACTGTAAACAATGAAGGAGTGTGCATATCATGACATGTAGGTTTAAATTGGAAGAACCCTATACTACATAAGAATATTTGAAAGTTTAATAAGAATATATTTTATGAATAATATCTATTTTCCTCACATATATCCCTAGTCTTCAAGATTGATAGACAAGTACTTGTTAAATATACTGACCTTTAGCATACCCTGCTGAACACCTTCACCTCCTACGTCCCGAAGTTGATGTATACCAGGTACAGCTCCAATTTTATCAACTTCATCCAAAAATACTATGCCTAGAATTATGACAATTATTCATTATATTAATTACCTGAAGGTACACAAAATCAATGACAATGCTTACAAATGTATTCACTTCCATTTTGAAAATCTTAGATGACAGTTGATACATCAAAAATTTGTGGAAGATTCAGAACTGACAAAAACATTTCTTTAAGACAATAAACATGGAGAAATCTCCATCATTTTAATAATTAGGTGCATACTTAACAGAATTAAAAAGTAAAATCTTTTCAAGTCCAATTACTATATTTTCCAGAGCATCAATTTGAAACATGAAATGTTAATGAAAAGTTATAGAAAAGAAAAAATTAGTAATAGTAATCAGGTGTCAGAAAAAAGTTTCTGAATTAAGTAATTAGTAATTCCTAATTAAGTTATAAATACTAATTCATTGGAAAAAGTATGTATGCAAACTTACCCATTTGAGCTCGTTCAACGCTATAATTTGCATCTTGGAGCAATTTTGCGATGACACTCTCAATATCTTCTCCAACATAACCAGCTTGTGTCAACGTTGTACAATCACAGATTGCAAAAGGAACATCCAAACACTGAGCGATTGTTTGAGCTAACAAAGTTTTACCTAATACATAACATTGCATATAATTAATATCTTAATACAATATAATTAAAAACAATAATAAAATTTAAGAACAAATTTTTCCTTACCAGAGCCTGTGGGACCCAACAGTAATATGTTACTTTTCTCCAGCCGCAACTCATGGCTAGCTGCATCAAGTATATCACTTCCAAAACCATTTGGACCAGATGAAGATCGTTTTGGGTCAGGTTCTGGACTTGGATGCTGGAATCCTACACCTAAAGATGAAGGATGGCCAATGCCTGATATATGTAGCAAATCTGCAAACAGTTGAATTAAAATCAATCTACATGTTAAATTGCAGAAATCAATTCTCTCACACACAGAAGTAAATTCACGACAAGTGCAAGAGAATGGATGCCTCTCAAAGCAAACTCATCTCATTGCTAAATTGCCATTGCCAATGCTGATTCTTTAATAGCATATAATTATTAAATCTCATAAATAATACATTGAATGATTGCCTTTTTCAGCATGCATTGACAACCCGTACAATCTTCATAGAGCATAACAGCACTAAATACTGGCACATCTGCACGAATGAAAAACATACAAAGTAACCCTTCACTCTGCCATTGGACAACACAAGTCAGCAAGAAAGCCACGGGACAAATACTCAAGGACTCCATGCCCACAATTGGACTGAAACCGGAAAGCCTTTGGATGGACAATTTTTAGGTCAATCAACCACTGGAATCAACTGACTTTTAACATCCCATTATTTAAGCTTCTCCCATTCTAAGATCTTTCCATGCAAATCCCATTAGTTTGAAATTTGCTGATATTACTTCACATTTCATAAAAATTTGTACCATTACCTTCTCTAATCTGTGTTGCTAATCCTGCTAAAGTATCGCTTCCATCTTTGTCTGGAACGAAATCTAAGCATGTTTTCTTGGTTTTTTGAAAATTTAATGTACATATTTGACCATAATTTTCTCATTTTATTGTCCATATGCAGAGGGCCCAATTGGTCTGTACCAATAGGGTAAGGTCTGGTCATGAGAAGAACTTACCTCTGTGAGAGAATGACTGTGAACCCTGCTCCATTACTGCCGTGTCATGCCTCTGGCTGGCAGATTGTTGATTAGGAATATTGTGATATATACGTTTGTAGTGATTATACACTGCAACTGATAGGACCTTTTTGGCATATTCTTGCCCCACAACATGTTTGTTTAGATATTCAAATATCTGAAAAGATATTAATTCTTAATGCAGGGCACTCATTTATTTGGCTAATTAACAAAACAATCAGAAGTTTGATCGTTCAGAAAGATCTGGGAACATGGTAAAAGCTTTGGCAAACATTTTCATACAAAGCATGTGTCGTAGAGGTGTAGCTAAGGCTATTAAGTATAAATAGAAATATAAAGAAGTATACAGCACTGTTAATTGTGTGCATTTCATAAGCACATACAATTATGTTAGATTGCATTCACAGAAGGCAGCTTCTGCCATTCTACCCAGACCTTTCAAACTAAACACTATTCGGAAACAACAAAACTGATTAAAAATCAAACCTTTTTCGGAGGAGGAGGTGGTTTACGATAAAATCCATTTTTGTGATCTTCACGATTTTCTTTCAAACTCTTTTTTGTGTCCATTTCGGACAAAACAACAAAGAAGTGATGACATTTTTCACATTTTACAAATCTTGTTGAAGCTGAAAAGAATGCAGTTTATTTAACAATTTACAAATTATTTACTAATATTATCAATATTTCAATGTAGAAACAGTGGTGGCTCATCACTTCCAACGTAGGTGGTTCCCAAAATAAAAGGGGCAGGTTGGGGAGGGGAGGAGGTGCAATCCACACAACCTGCTCTGTAAATCTCTACTGCATGAAATTACTCACAACCTGGCAGTGGGGAGGTTTACGGAATGCATGCGACCATTCTTCAGTGCTGAACTTATATTTTTCAGGAATACAAGAACTATTTTGCGAGTTCAAGAGTGAATTGAACTGAAACTTTTCCATTGCATCAGCTATCAGGGACAGGAACAATTTCTAATGTACCTTTGAATAAAACTCGTATTAATGAAATAAACCACTTTAAGGAGGAAACCAAACATTGAGGAATAATTAAATGGCATTTGATAATAAAAACACTATTAAAATCTAAATGAAAGTATACATTTACATATATCAAAATGGTGGGCTCCTTTTACATTTCAAAAAAATTATTGGGACAATGGTATTGTTTAAAACTTAAGTTTAAGAAAATGGTATATTAAGGGAAGAAGGTACCATGTATACCACCCATGTTAAATTTGCTACTATTTATGTGCCTTTCCTATAAAATAGAAAATTTTGATATCTCACAAACTTAAAGATAAAATATTTGTTAATACTTTGACATTATTGAGTTGATTAAAAAGTATTTAGTATTTTTTTTTCTATTATAACTTTTGCTCTAATTTTACAGCATTTTTGGGCCAACTTTTTTTTAATTTAAGAATGTTTATACAAAAATGTCAATTTATTGTCAATGCTATAAAAAGAATGTAAGTTTCATGTAAGTTTCAATAAATTGTGAAAAACAGTTTCTAAGGAAAGGTACATTAATTACAAAATAATTACATTTTCAGGAAACACCATTAGAAAAATGTCTATATTTGCCGCTCCTCTACAAGAATATTCTACTTCATATTCTGGATAATTTTCTTCAGCAGAAAAGACCAATGCTACTAAAGTATAAACAAGAGCATGTTTCAGTAACTCATTAACAACAGAACATGTGTTCAGAATTACGAAAATATAGCCATTGTAGCCAGAGTCAAAACAGCCCAGTTTTGCTGTGTCAAAAAGGGGGGCGTGGCACATGCGTGGTAGAACATTTAAATAAGAATTAAAGGGACTTCCAGGCGTCCTACAAGAAAAATGATGATATATTTGGAAAGACCAAGATTCGAAGTATTTAATGAGCTAAAAATAAGAAAATCAATATTTTGACCCATTTCATGGTACCCTCTCTCCTTAATACTTTGTGCACCCACCTTTTTACTTTAACTTCTTTTAACAGATTTGGCATAATTGTAACCAACTTTTGGATATAATCAAAGGAAATCTTTCCCCACTCCATAATTATTGTTTCTGATGTTCTTTGTTAATAATGAGGCTCTGGTGTGTTTCTTTGTAATTTCGCCCAAAGATTTTCAATGGAATTGATGTCAGAATTTTGGGGAAGAGTATGGCGCATTTTTGGGCAATTGTAACGAAGCCACGGCTTCACAAGATGGGCAGCGTGCTCGGGGTCTTGACGGTTGCTGCTCGAGAGAAATTAAAATCACCCAGAAAGTCTTAAAATTTGCCATCTTGTTGTTGATACTGTCTTTCAATATACCCAAGTATACATATTGTTTCATAATCTTGTCTGTATGTGCCTCCATTGGTCGCCATCCCCCTGCAAACCATTACACTCGTACCGCCGTGTTTCACGGTTGGTTTCATGTTAATGTTTCGGAACTCCATTAGCTCTCCGCCACACGGTACCTATCCGTACTTCTCCAATTTGAGACACACAAGTTAAACTTGTACTCGTCCGCATGGATCCTTTAATAGGTGGTCTTTTCTTAACGTTCACTGCACTGATCCGTGGGTTTTATCTGCGGATTCTGTAGTGGAAACTGGATGCTCTTTGCAACACACGCTCAACAGTTTCGGTATGCACATTTTTCCCACTTCAGCAGTAATCTGCGTTGCTGAAATCGAATTTTGTTTCTTAACTTTCCTGATAATATATTTTTCTTCTTTGGAAGAAATACTCTAGGACGTTCTGTTTGTCAGTTGTATTCAATTCTGGGTTCATTTCTTAAACCTTTAATAATACTGAACACTGTTATTCTCTTCATTCGAAACATGTTTCCAATCATCTTTTGCCTACTGGAATATCACAGATTGGCGCATATTAAACTATTTTTTCCTCTGTGCACCAGTACCCTCCTTTCTGGTATCCAAGCAATCAGGAAAGTAGTTGAGATTTGTTCATGGTTTCAGAAAGTCGTTCAGTTTCCTCACGCTACCCGAAATTAATATTTTATACTCAAATTAACCTGATCTTCAGGTCCAATATTTTTGTTGAGGTCCAGTTTCACTTTCTCATGTTAAAGTTACTAATTTTGTCTATAAGTTGTTGTTTTTTCAAAATACATTGTTTCACTCGTTTTACATTTCTTTCCACTATATTTTATTCAAATTATATTTTGTGTGAAATAATAATGATTATCTCATTTAATCGCATTACGATATAATATTCACAAATTCATGGGTGTTCCAACACTTATTTGGGACACTGTACTTATAAATTAAATCAGTACGCGTTTTCTTGTCCGCAGTTAAAACTTGATTCACTAAAAGTAAGTTGGACTCTACTTCACAAAACAAGTCATACACAATGCCATAAATTACCAGGTTCAGTGGGTCTTCATTGAGTATATGACATGTACTGATGGCGTAGAATAAATCATAAAACCGGCCCTGTATCGAGCCTCTGGCACTGCAAACGTCAATCCAAGTGGCAGCGGAGATTAAGGGTTAAGTGATAACACTGACCCCAAGTAAGAATTTTTCTTCACGTTTCTATTACATGCTTCCTCGTATTCCTTTGTGGACAATTCCTAATTAAAATGTATTGTAAAAGTGATATTTGTGCAAATTTACAATAAAGTTAAAATACTATTCTCTTCTAACACCATAATCAACCAAACTATGTATGTATGGCGTGCTATGTACTGGGTATGTACTGGCGCGTAACTCAAGAGCCATTTCTGTGAGTCTTGCTATGTGCCACACAGTATGCTCACCTGGAAGCACTCTAAGCTGGCTAAACATATTGTCAACACCCTCCTCCGCATCGATTGGTTGACCATCACGCATTAATACGCCCCTCAATGCCCCGCTGTTCTCCTCCGTCAACCTACGGTTTGTGTTCGCCAATGCTCTATCTCGTGACGCCTGGGTAGCAACGCGGAGTAAACCATTAGACCGTCCCACCACGCGTGGTCCTTCTCTCGTACCTCCTTTCCCACAAAACTGAGATGCGATAATGACTCACAAGAATAAATATACAAATCAAACAAATGTGCATTCATGTATAACAATTTGTAAATAACGAAAAAAATTATTTGGCAGTCTCAACACGCTTCAACTAGCACGAGCCACCACTGATGAAACACAAGTTTACTTACATACAAATGTTTCCACGTGTGTACAAGGATCACCACACTTAGGGCAGGAAAGATGGTTTCCTCCATCTTTGCCCGTTCCTTTGGAGAAGGCACTTTTTTTACCACCCCCTTCACCTTTCACTGTGCTTCCACCGCTGCTGCCCCCGATCTCTCCAGCTCCACCTGAAGCCTGCTTCAGCAGTGGGGAGGTGTAAGCAAAACTTCTCTTGAATACAAGAGGTATGTTCTGCCATCCTGGGCATGTGCGTAGAACATAACATAATACACCTGAAAATAAAAAGAAGGAAATTTAAACTATTGTCTTACAAAACATTTTTAAGTTTGCATTTTTTAAAGCTTAACCATACAACACATTGATTCAGTTATTTTCTTAATCAGTTATACAATCTATATGTAAATGTAAGGGAATGTGCGTTGGTGTGTCGCACATAGACGCCAAACCTACTCAATCCATTTCGCTGAAAGTTTGACACTTTGTTATTATTAGTAATGGGAGTGTTAAAAGTGTGATTTGAATGAAATCGGATATGTAGGGGCGTTGTTGATTTATTCGTTTATGACGACTCAAGCGTCCCTAAAATACGCAACCCGCCGCACAGTTAAGGATTAATCGCGTCTTTACTGCATACAAGTATTCTGCCCCCGCGTTTGTGAAATATCGGCCGGAATTATTACTTGAATATCGGATAGGTAAATCAAATTTTTCCAAGATTGTGTCATAGCAATGCATCCCCAAATTTGAGGGAGAACTTTTTAACAATAGGATACTTAACAACCACGCCCATATCAGGACATAGAACAAAACCATACTTTCGAGAAAGTCTTTCATTTAATTTAACGTTCACACAGCGTAACATAAAACGTGATTAACAATCACGTGACCAGTAGTGTGTGATGTGTAATACACTGCAATAGCGAAGCACTGCCGGGTCCAGTAGTATTATATATTTCGAAACAGTATATAGAAACAAAATAATGCGAATACATGCAATTTCTAATCTTTATAAATACAATTGTAGTTTTTGTAGATTTCAAAATAACCGGATTTCTATATTCCCTTAGGATTATAAAAAAAATACAAATTTGTCTCTCTCGGGTAATCTCTGGGAAGGCTGAACCGATTGCGATCAGGTTTTCACGGAAATTTGTAGAAGTTAACATAATATAACGAAGTATGATTTTTTTTACACAAATCTACAGTTCCATACCGACCTTGATAAAAGTTTGTACACGTGGCCTTCAAAATAAGATAAACGTTGCTGCTTGAATGAAATTTTACTCCTATCCCATTTTTCTATCCCGTGCAGCAAAATTTATGCACACAGTCATTTACTTTTCGGCGAATATCTTGAAAAGGGCGAGGGAATTTAAAGCGGATTAAACGTTTCTTGAAATCTATACAATTTTTCGATATCTGTTAACGCATACCAATACCATATCGCATTGAGTCTTAGCAGGTCAAAATTGTACTGTATGTAGCACCGGCGATCGCAGCGAATGTGGCAGGGTAGAGTGGGCAGAGACAGGACAGGTCGTAACGGAGTGGGGCGGGGTGTGGTGGAGCGGGACGGGGCGCGGCGGGGCGGGGCAGTCACTAATAAGGCGCAATTTCGGCTAGTCACTAATAAGACGCATTTATAAGACTGTTAAACACGAATATCAGGCTTACAGGCGTTTTCCTCACCAATTTTAACGTTTTCATGTTCCTGTAAAACATTTTCATGTATGGTAAGTATCTTGGAGAATTTGCTACGAACATTATCTCTTCAAATATTACTGGAGAAGATAACTTTCCAATAAACTTTCAAAATATCAATAAAAATATAAAATTGCCAACTTGACAAGTAGTCCTACTTGAAATCTCTAGTGTAAGGATAAATTCTTTTTCGAATATTACAACTGTATCAATATAAAATTATGAGAAAATGCTATATGAGGACTGACAGTACAAAAACGTAACGTCATATGGAAGAAACAACTACGATTATAAGAAAATAAACGTAATATGAATTCAGGCTAAGTAAATGCAAATTGGCCATTCCTTTAGAGGGGAGGGAAGGGGGGGGGGATTCAAAGCTCCGCGCGGGGACGAATTGAAAAATTGATTGAAACGCAGCTTAGCTTACGACACACACTCCATAAATCCTAAGAACGTTTTCTGTAAAGTTTTCACGCCCAATTTTCATTCAGATTCTTTAACATTTCAGAATGTGGATGATTCCATGACTGTGGAATGTGGACATCCATGTTAACTCTTCACACATCACATAACCAGACAACTGAAACGGCGGGAAGGCCGTCGCGACCCAATCAACACTCGCTCTGCAGATGCGGCGTTGATCTGACGCACGTGCGCGGACAAGCCGATGACGTCATCGTAACGTAGCGGGCGGAATGTGACGTCGAAATGCCCAAAAGATCTTTCCTTGAGACTTTCTGCCAATGCCCCGCCCCACCCCGACCGTACGACCTAGAGCGCGCACCCTCACGGGAAATAACGAAATAACGTATAAAAACTCCTGTCCGTCGTGCGTGGTGGTGCTTTTCGCCCCCTGCTGGAACGAGTCCCGGTGTCCATCTGCACGGGCAGGCTTGCGATGTTTTCCCCCTAGTTCTTTCCCCCAGCAGGGCCACCGGCCCGGCCGGGACGAGCTCTAAGCTCCCGACTGGTTTCCTCACACGTGTGGTAGCGTAGCGCGGGTGTGTGTATGTGGAAGGGGGGAGGAGGGGATACTGATGAAGGAAGCACCGCAAGCGGTCCATGGCCTGTTTGTTGGGTACTGCTCCGACATTCGCCTGGTGCTGATCAGAGACATCAGGGGAAACTATCGATCAGAGCAGTAAGCCGCTAGGTTTCTCTTCCAGACAGTGGCTGAGTCCAATCTACCTGAGTACCTAATGTCGAAAATCCTCCACCGTCGGGACTTCAATCCTAGGACCTTCCAATCAACGATACGGCAGAGAGCATGGGTTGCCACTAAGCTACAGCAACCGGTGTTTTATTTACAAATAATCGAAAACACAGTTTCTAAAACCTGCACGTATTCACCAGCTCTCAATATTTAACCATTCCTGGAGACCTGTTGGATTTTAAGATTGCGAAGCTCAAGCATTTTTAATAAACTCCTTCGAAGACTGGATTATTTTTCGCCCAAAACGCGTGACCAAATTTTTAATCTCCATTTTCTAGGAATTAGTTCGTCCGTTTCGCAAGACAGCAACGTGCCGTGAGGAAATGGGCATGAACCACACAGTCTGTAAGACAACACTGGACGCGAGAACACCTGTTAGCCGTGTCGGGAGTAAACAATTTTTAACTCTACCTCAATTGACTCCCCGTCTCTAAGAGAAGGCTGTAACAGAAAGTATCTCATTTTAAGTTGAAGTATTATACAAAATAGTAGTGCATGAACTATAACTATTGCTACAAGGCTATATAGCTATACCATTTCGGGTGGTCTGTTGATAACGCCGAGATAAAATGAATTACTAATTTGTCAAGTATTGCAGGCCCGAACTTCTGAAATTGCCAAAACCCTTCAGGGGCCGTGCCCTTGACAAAAAGACGCGACGCGCCCAACCAGCGCGGAGACTCGATTTTTAACCTTGGCTAATGGCACGGTTACGATTCCTTTCTGCCAACTTTCCCCGCCGCCTGTCGCAAGCCCCGTTCTCCTTGTGCCGGTACTCCAATTCGGCGCCGCGCCGCGCCGCGCCGCACAGTGGGCCGGAACGAGACCGTCGGCGCCGCTTCTTGCGCGGGACGTTTCGAACAGGCGGTCGCGCAACAGGCGCAGACAGAAACGATTCCGAGCAGTGCACAGACATTTCCATTCCCACGATTATGAATTTGCAACAACGGAAATTCGATCACCTTCGTTGCAGGAAACGCTGAGTTGAAACGTTATGTCACCTTCGTTTACTCATTCGGAGATGGTGGCAACAAGGGACGACCTCACTGGAATATCTGCTACTATCAGTAGGAAATCACTGCCGGCCTTTTCACGTGACTCTTAAGCATCAAACACAAACAAGTTTGGTACAACTTAATCAATACAAATACTTCTACATTACATCATGTACGTCCTCATTTATTTGCGGTTATAATAATTATTAATTGTTCTTCTGAACATCCAACTCTCTTCTTTTTTTAATGTCTTTCACCCACCCTGGTCCCGTGGGTAATGAGGGATCTACCGTACATTTCTCCACGTCGTTAAGGATTGTTCTCGCGCCAGTCGGTCCGTTAGCAGTGCGGCGCGGCCTTCGACGCCGCCGGCGTTCCGCCGCTCGATAGCCCCGCCCGGGGCTCGAAGCCCGGCCCGCGACGCAGCCCACCGCAGCGGCTGCGTTCGCCGCGGAGCGCCCCGCGTCCCACGCTCGGGGGAGGCGAGCCGGCGCCGGCAGATTGGGTGTCGTCGAAAACGCGCAGTCATTTCGCTTCACGAACCGAACCATGCACGTAGATAAGAAACAACTGCTTCTATGTTTAGATTGGCAGTTGTACCCCGACTGCAGTTACTAACTTCCTTACGCTACGTGAAATGTGTTATGTTAAAAAAAAAAAAATATCTGCCTAGAGTTTGATCGACGATGTTCCGAAAATGTACCAGTTATATACAGGGAGACCCAACAAATGTTTTTTTCTATCTCAAAAACTTTTTTCATATTATAGTGTAGTTTATGTCGCTTAACTAAAATGTTATTTAGAGAGTTGATTTGGTTGAATTGCCGTTTAGATTTCCACAAAGCAGCCATCAGGTTTGAACAAACGGGTTGCTCTTTGCTCAAATTGTAATTTTAAATAACAAATGAAATTACATCATATTTACATTCTTATTCAAGTACAAAACAGCAAATGTCGGACACAGGTCGTAGTGGCAATGCGCCCCAGAAGGCAATTCACCAAGGCGTAAGCCATTCAAATAATCTAGCGTAAGCCATGTAGGTCTTCTTTTGCGCTGTGGCCTGGCAAGTCTCAGGACACAATGAATCACTCTGAACCAGATTCCTTCGCCACCCCCGTAACCATCGTGCGAGTACAATGTACCTGGAGTACTGGGTTTACAGCGCCCTGCTGCAAGCGCGATCGAAGAGCCACCTGGACTACGTACAGATAGGCTCAAGAGCTACGTTGGGCAGGAGATAAGTAAGCTCTACGTCAAATACGGGCTTACGATACAGCCGGGACGGGGTGGTCCTCCAATAGGTAACGGAAGGTGTAAAAGAACGGAAAGAGGACCGCCACGTACATAAAAAATAATATA